TGTCACCCCTGCATCTGGCAACCCAGTTGTCAGCACCGCGTTGGTAATCAGGGAACTGGGAGGGGCCCCAAGAGCCCAGGTCACAGCAGGACCATGCACTGTCTAGACCATCCCTGACGAGAATTTATCCAACCCGCTCTTCAGTCTCTCCGGAGGTGGGGATTCCACAATCTCCCTGGGCAACTTATTCCAGTGTTTCACCCCACCCCTGCATCTGGCAACCCAGTTGTCAGCACCGCGTTGGTAATCAGGGAACTGGGAGGGGCCCCAAGAGCCCAGGTCACAGCAGGACCATGCACTGTCTAGACCATCCCTGACGAGAATTTATCCAACCCGCTCTTCAGTCTCTCCGGAGGTGGGGATTCCACAATCTCCCTGGGCAACTTATTCCAGTGTTTCACCCCCGACAGGCACTTCTTCCTAATGTCCAACCTCAGCCCCCCTTGCTGCAGTGTAAGGCCCTTGCTTCTCATTCCATCCTGGGAGAAGAGTTTTTCTTCCTCCTTGTTACACCTTTGTAGGTATGTGAAAGGTGAGCACCTCTGTCCCTTCTCCGTCTTCTCTTTTCAGAGTGAAACCCAGTTTTTTCCCTCTTCCCTCAGGTCATGTTTTTCTAGACCTTTCATTGTTTCCTTTGCTTTTTCATCTGAAGTATTTGCACGAGTCTTCAATCAATCTCCATTTTAGCAACATCCTGGACTTGTAGCCGACCGAACCGGACAGGGTTCCAGCCGTGCTCGCACCAGTGCCCCATGCAGAGGTAAAAATCTCTGCTCAGCCTTGAGTTCCTCCGTGTAGGCAGCCCAGGATCACATTTGCTCTTCTGGCCGCAGTGAGCGGGGGGGGGGGGGGGGGGGGGGAATAAGAACGTTGGGTCCTTCCACAGCATTCAAGGTCCTTCCCATTGTAGGAGCAGCTTGGTATTGGTTCTGACCCCGAGCAGGAGGGGAATGAAGGTAATTGGTAATGATACCGAAGCAATTCACTAACCCTGAAAACCGCACACGAATGAGCAACTTCATAGAGGCAACTGAACACAGCCTGAACCCCTACGATGCGGGACTCTGGCCCAGCAGCATTGGATATTATTGGACAAGCCACGTCCGGGAGTGCAGCCCCCCAGGACTAGGGGCTGCAGGGCCAACAGCCAGGAGGGGAGCCTCGACCTCCCCTGGCTTGGGACCGCTCAGGTGCCGGACCAGACAGCCCACCTGTACCTCCTACAGCAGGAGTCTTGGCTGGCTGGGAGGAGCACGGGGGCCCATTAACACGCTGGTCTCAGCAGTCCGTGGCTGGAGGACTCGCCTGCAGGGGCTGATTGCAGGGTTTTTTCCTCATTCAGCTGAGGGCACTGCTGAGACGTGCCCATGCCTGGCAGCAGGGACCTTCGTGCTCTTTGCTTCCATCAAAGGAGCTCAGTTTGCAAACTCAAGGGAGAGGATTTAACTGCTGCTGGGATCAGCACTGCCTGGAACCCGCTCTCCGTCTCCTCTCCCCCCTCCCCCAGGGCTACTGGCACAAGGTAGAGAAAAGCAGCTGGCTGCCCCCACCCGCCAGCCCTGGGGAGACTTGGGGCAGCGCTGCCGGGTGCAGGGGGCCCATTGTGCAGCAGACAGCGCTGACTCAGATCCCTCCTGCTGCGATTGGCACAGGGGGCAAGGCCGGGACTCCTTCCCCCTCTCCGCCGGGTTTGGGGGGATTTCCGGGCCCTGTACTCTATCTGCCCAGTGAGCCCGGATCTTGGTGCATGAGCAACACCCCCACAAATCCACATGAGTGGACTGGGCAGACACCGCAGAGGCTGAGGGCAGAGTAGGGGGCTGCGGGACACAGTGCAGTAGAGCCCTCTAGGCTCGCAGGTTCTGGTGTGCAGGGCGCATCCGGGGGCAGGGAGAGGCTGCAGCAGCACCAAACCCCTGCCAGGGACACAGCAGCTGAGAGGAAGCAGGATTGAGAGACGACAAGGCTCATTGGCTGAGCTGTGACCAGGCTGGAGCCCGGCTGCTCGGCTCTGCCCCAGGGATCCTGCACACGCGTGAGCTGACGCAGCAGAGCTCAGGAGGGGTCACTGGCAGCTTTGCCCCAGAGGAACTTTCCTCCTTGTTTACAAGAGCTGCATTCCCCTCAATGGGAGGCGCTCAACCTGCAGCCTCCGGCTCGTGAGACACCAGCCAGCAGAGCCAGGGCAAACCTGGGAGAGGCACATTCAGAGGCCTAGGGCAAGCAGCCAACCCCAGGCAGCCCTCCAAAGCAAGGGGGCATCCCTGCTGGTGGAAGCCACACATGGAGGCTGCAGGCGGCCTGCCCGGGCCCAGGGGAGTCTCTTCTGCAAAGGACTGTGCTGTCAGCACGTCAGGGAGGTGCTGGTGATGGGAGATTTTACAGAACGAAGGAGTTTGAGTCCCTGGTGCTATGCGGGTGGGATCATGTGCAATGCCCCTAAGGGCAGACGTGGCCATGAAAGTGAGCCGCACATGTGGATACCTGTGAGCATGAAGCAGGAATCCGCCAGTTTGCAGGGTTCTAGATACAGACGCGGATACAAAGTTTGTATCGGCAAAGCCGAGCTATCGGCGGATTTGCAGGGCTCTAGGCGGGGCCAGCGTACGCGCGGGGATGTGGCATGAGTCCGCAGGGCTGGAAGCTCTTAGCAGACCCCTAAAGGAAACAGCTGGGAGAAGGGGAACAAACCCTCATGTCCAGGCTCAGCCAGGCCCTAGGAGAGAACCAGGCTGGGATGGGCTCTGCTCCGTCGTGGCCAGGCGAGGGCCGCACGGGGGCTCTTGCTCAGAGCAGAAGAGGTCTGGGCAGGTAGCCATGGAAAGCCAGGCGACCTCCAGGAGGGGCTGGGGGGAGCACAGGGAGCTCAGTGCTAGGCTATCGGTTAACGTGCTTCCTCTCGTACGTTTTCACTCAGACCGGCTGAGCGCTGCATGGAGAAGGCCAAGCAGAGGGGCTGATCTTTAGGCAGCTGGACTGCACCCTGAGAGCAGCGACCTGGACAGCCTAGAAACGCCAGAGCCAGACCCGGGTCTCTGCCCAAGAGGGGATGGCTGAGGAGCCAAGGGTGGTGCCCTGAACGGAGACAGGGCCCAGGAAAGAAAGTCACCGTGGATCAGCGAGCTGCTGCCGCCACAGTGGGGGGCAGGGAAGAATCTCCCCCCCCCCCCACAGTTCAAGGTCATGCAGCTCTGGCCCCGAGCGACACCAGCGCCTCCCCCCCCTCTGCAGTGGAGATGGGTCCTAGTGTAGACGGGTCTGGTCCCCGGAGCGGTATCGCCAGGACGCCGTCGGCAGGCAGTGCCCCAGGCCTCAAACAGGTGACACAGGCGCGAACATCCCCTATCAAGCCCCACCCTCAGGTTTTTATAGCTGCGCCCATCACAACGGCCTCTCCTTGCCTAACCCAGCTCCCGGAGGGGTGCTCCTTGGGAAGGGTTAGCCTAGACCGGGGGTGAGCCTAGACCTCACTGTGGCTGCTGATTGAGGAGAAAGACCCCCTCCCACATTCCCCCCCCACCAGAGCCGGGGGGGGGGGGGGGGGGGCCGAGGCTCCAGCCCTCACGGGAGCAGCAGCACCAACACAGGCTCCCCAGTGCTGGAAGAGCCCTGAGCCTCGGGGCTGGATCCAGGCAAGGCCCCAGGCCTGAGGTCCCCCCCGACCTAGGCAGACGGACACACACAGAACCGGGACTTACACGGATCTCGCGCGTGGCTTTCTTTCCATCTTTACTGAGCACATTGCAAAAATTATCCTTCTGATGCAAGTAGAAAATTTAGGAATTAGTCAAAGGCACATATTCTAAAAAAAAAAAAAAAAAAAATCTCTTTACATATATACATCTCAATTCATTATAAATACACATAGAAAACCAAAGGCAAACAAACAAGCAGATTAAAAGTGCTAACGAAAAGGTGTAAGGAAGAGAAAAGAATTCATTGAAAAATACAGACGATCAGTAGGACAACGGCATAATAATTTAGTTAAAAGATACTGTTACATATTAACCCTGACTAGAACACAGGTTTGGGCGGGGGGATATTTTCTAGAAGGTGCCCGTCTTTTCCAGAGATTGGGAGAGAATTGCATATCTCTTAGAATTAAAACAGCCACGTGAAAGTCCAGGTCCTGTTTTTGGCGGGCCACGGGGGGGGGATAGAAAGAGCACCTGAGGATTATTCCTGAGTTTAACCCTGGGTTTTTTGGTGTGGCTTTTACTGCTTGAGAGCTGACAGGTGCCCGAGTGACAGACGTTAAATAAGGGCTCCGGGGTGCCAAGGAAACAAGATTTTCAAAGATCCTCTGTGTGCCAGGAGTGCAGGGAGCATTGTCAAGCGAGGGGGAGTGTGTCAACAGAGCCAGGGAGGGACCAGCAAGGGCTGTTCTCTGGGAGAAGCGGCAAGGGGCCCCTTTGCTGTGGCTGGCCGGAGGAGCGCAGGGCGGATTGGCGCTTCCCTGGCAAGCTGGGCGAACGCAGCAGCGGGAGGAGATGGGGCGGGACGCGATCGTAGGCCAGCAGCTCAGTGCAGGGGCAGGTTAGTGCAATTAGGGGGATGAACTAGGACTCCCGGGGGCTGGGACTGCACCAACCCCCCTCTCGACAGTGCAGCAAGAGGGGCGGCACGTCCGTCCCTCAGACACCAGCCATGGATCGTGTGACTTCACGCTTGGGGGGTTCTGATCTTTGGTGTTGAATAGGCCGGGGGCACAAAGGGCTTCTAGAATCCTACCCAGCCCCCAGCCCCAGGGAAGTGGGGGCGGTGGGGCCCAGCCCACCTGAGAGGCACGCAGGCAAAGGGCGTAGAAAGACATGGGCGCAGGGCTGCAGACCGGTGCCGGCCTGGCCCAGAGAGCAGGCCCCAGCGTGTGCAGGGCGAGGGGAGTGGCTCAGCAGGCAGGGCTTCCAACACTCTTGCCCAGG